TCTCCGGTTATGTCATCCTATCTCTTTCATCCATCCCTGTCAATCCCGGCTGCTCCTGGCCCTGATATACGATACAGACACGAGGAATACTGAATATTGTTCAATAAATAATACAAAATAAGAAAGTAGTTCTGCATTATGTGACTGTAAATCATTACAACTGTAAACTTTCTATGTCCCTGTAGATAAATATACGACTATGACGCCAGGCCTGAACATTTTTAGATATACCTACGATAAATAATGCGATGTAATTTGTAGATATCCCACAAAATCAATCCACGAATAGTGAACTAGGAAGTAAAAAGACTGTTAATAACCCTTCAGGGCGAGCGGATTGGACAAACAAAAACCAATCCTTCACCCAGGAGTCCGTTAATACCCTGCGAGAAGTCAACATTGATTTGTCACGTAACTTGTTTACTTCAATAACTTGATTCTGTATAGTTATTTTAACCAAAACAGCAATATTAACCAAGTAGTTTTTTTGCCTAAACCTGTGCAGGCAGATGTTTATTTTGAAAATACTGTATCTATGTAATTAGGGGAAAATTGACACGTGTGGAGGGACTTTCATAGGAAAACGAATGACAAGGAAGCAGTTACTTCCCCTAAGATATCCTGTGTGAACCCAAATGACAGCCAGGGAGGTCTGCAAATGCTACAGGTTACTAATTACTATTTGATTAATTGCACATGTAATTATGAGTCATTAATCTTGCGGAAATGAGCTTTATTATAACTATTGTGTTTTCTGCAGATTTGATGTTCATGCAGCAGTGAGCTGCGCCTCAGGTTGATGATATTTGATCCGTCTGGAGGCGGCACATTTAACAGAACCTGAAACCTTATTGATCTGAAATCACATCCGTGATTACGGTTCTATCCATCAATAGCACATGTGCCTCTGGGATTTGTTTGTGTAGCATTCAGTCCTTTACCATCATTCATCCAACTTCTGCCACCATGTCAACCTTGAACCAATTCCAACACGCTGCCACCAAACATTACATTTTACTGCCCTCAAACTAGAGGCCACAGTTTAATACATAATTGTACAAATGCAACACAATTTAATAAACCATAACCTAATATCTGCAACAGACATTTCCGTGTCAGTGCCTGCCAGCAGTGTGACTTGTCCATATGTCCAAAACATTAGACGCAAATCCTGGAATGACTCACAATCATGGCACTGCTAATAAAGGGAACGACATGACATATCCTAATGGTGCTCCGATGGAGAATCCAAAATCATTTTTTAATTTGTTGATGCATGTCGAAGCCTAATGGAACAATGTCAGAGTGGGAGCCTCGATTTCAGGGTCAAAGTCACAAACTCTAATACAAATGAAGCTGAAAATGATGGAGAAAGATGGGCCGAAGCACTGCCAAGTGCTTTGTTGGTGTGCTCTGTTTGTGTTTATATCTCATGAAGCGCACCATGCAGACTTAAGCCCTCCCACCAGGGCTCAGAGGCAAACCGCCACATCAGCCAGTCGCCAGACTTTAGTCCCCTCTGTATATGTCCATGTGTGTGCATCTGTGTCTGTGCTGTCAGCATCTATTTCTCTCTACCATAAAGCCCATTTACAAAAAACCCACTAACATGTGGCTTTTGTCTTAAGAGGGAACGGTTTTGATCGGCAGTCATTCCCGGGACAGATGACTCTGCAGTAGTCACGGGTATTTATCGGCTCCAGCTCTGAGAGGCGCTGATGGAAACATGACACCTAGGTGGACACGCTAATTTGTGCCTCTTTTCCGGGGCGATGTGACACGTGTTAAAGTGAATTTATAATAAATAAAATAAACTGGGATTTGGACAATTATCATAATTTCCTAACGTACAAAACATACAACAAATAAAAAGCTACCAGACAGTAACTTTAACCGCGCAATATCATCGAAACACACGAACAAATCAGAAACGTCTTTGCTAGTCTTTCTTCTGTACTAATCCAGCAGACACACATGTTTTAAAAGCTGAGCAAATAAAACCCCAAAATGTCTGCAAGATGCTTTTTTCTTGAAACTTGGTTGAACTGACCCTTTAACACAGTCTAACAGATGGACGACTGTAGCGCTCTTGTCAGAAAGAGAGATTTATTTGGCTTATCAGCGATACATGGATTAGACATATTAGACACGTGTTGTATCAGCACTTTAGCAAGTACTATTTTTATGTCTGGGTATTCTATCAGGCAATACGAGTCATTAATATGACACAAAAGGCAATAAACGCTTTGATCTTCATTAGCGAGGCTAGTCTATTTCCCCACCTGCTCCATCACTTAATGATTGCTCTCTTTCTAGCCAGCTCACCTGTATAGAAACATGGCAGCTGTAAACACATTCAGAATGTATAGGACCACAAATACAGTCCAAAAAGGTCACACCAACGCCTCTAGAACTGCTGCTGCCACCTTTAGTGTAAAATATGAATCTCCTTGTTCTGTAACGTTGCTGTAAATAAGCGACCTGCGGGGCAGAACCGGAGGTTTGAAGTGGAAATAAAGAGAAGATGTGACCTCGCGTCTCCGCAGATGGAACGTGAACATGCTTCCCCTCTCTCGACCCGCATGATTTATTCACATCTCGAGAGTGTGTCTGTCTGTGCATACAATAGGTGCGTCCAAACAAGGACGTAGGAGGGAGGCTGAAGCACTGCTTGACCTCGGCAACATATTCATGATTGGCCTCACAGCAAGCGTGCTGCCTGCATATATAACATGAAAGTCTGACCCTTGGTGATAAACTGAACTTTTGAACTCTAAACTTATTTTCGTTTGTGTGTACGTGAGCTGACGCATGTGTCTGCGTGTCTGCACATTCAGATCAGCTTTGCAGACGAGGCGAGATGAAGTCATCCCAAATTAGAATTTCAAATAAATTTTTTCACTTCTTGTCTCTTTCTTCCATTGAAAACACCTTTTAAAACATTGGTTTCCATCCCATAAAGTTCTCTGTCACTTCAGCAGCCATAAAAAACTGTTTTTCTGAAAGATGTATTTTTCCATTTCAAATAGAAACTTAAAAACATGTGGATGAAAACCTTCAGTAATACTTTTTCTGACGCACATGTCGATAATGCATCACAAACGTACTTCTAATGCATTATAAAACATTTTATAATGTATATGACTTATAAGATCAAGTATCATAATGCTTCATAATTGCTGGTCACTCACTGAGACTATGTGTGCTTGTTCTTGCATTCATTTGACAATATTTGTTTTACTTAACTTAAAGCAAACAATGGCCACTTATAGGGACACATAACCAGCTTGTAATGTATTATCATACTTTATCTTAGGGATTTAATTTCTCAGTGAGGTTGGATTTTAACTTAATATAGGAAGCTGCAACATACAATATACAATTAAAAGAATTGAATTCATAAACAAATCTGCATCAGGAGGGAAAACATCCAACAACATCCTGCATCCATATCTCATCCCTCCTCATTTCTCTTGTTTATGCTTCCTCATCCCTCTCTCTGTCGCTCTGTCCGTCTGTCTCTCTGCCTTCCCTGTAACTGACGTCAGTGTGCACCCGTAGGACAGCCCCCAGCTTCCTCTAATGATATAATTATAGCCAATAAGCCAAAGTGATGACTCAGTCTGATTAGCGGCATCAAAACAACGTCGGCTCTGAACATAACTTATACATGGATGGAGGGAGAGAAACAGGGCCACAGAGGAGAGGAAAAAGATGCACTGACAACACACTAAAAGACTCTGTTGCATCGGTTATTTCGGGGATTATGAATGACATCCTGCATGTATGATTGGTTATGCAATATCTGTGTGGGCATCAGTAGCTCAAAGGCTACAGCGGTGAGCCTGTGCTGAGAGATCCTCGGTTTGAATTCCCAGCCAGGCTTGAAAATCTTGATGTGCTCGTGAATTAGTAACACTCTCCCTCGCTGGCTGCTGTCAGGATGCCCTTGAGCAAGACGCAGTTGTGTAGCCTTGTAGCTCAGACGGTTGCGTTTGTATTCTGCAGCTCCTCGCAGTGATTTTCTGAGCTTACGCACCGAGGAGGCGGCTGTAAAGAACTTTATCTTTTTTCTATTGAAGTGGCCATTCAAACCCAGCCGCAGTAAAAATTTGTCTCAATCACCTCAATGTAAAAAAGCCAACACCTTGTGTCATCTTCGTGCTCCTCCAAGGTCTGAGCATCACTAAATAAAACTTGATTGATCGCCTATTAATGTATGTGAAGGTGACTATGATTTACTTGTTCGTAGCAAACAAGACAGCTTTCATTTTTCTCCGCTAATGGCGTCCGTCCGTGCCATAACTCCTCTTGTCTCCGTGTATTCAAGCTCCATTACATGTGGCATCCATTTCAAAAGCGACTGGCGTCTATTGGACTATTACTCGATGTTGTGAAGCTGATAAAATGAGCTGAAAGGCTGTGCGGTAACTAAGAATAGCAGGTGATGCTGGAGAATTGGAAATAGGTGTTTGCGTGTCGTAAATGGGTTCTGAGTTGTTATTTTATTTCAATTTGGTTTATTTATCACAAAATTAATTACACTAATACAGCACAGAATCTGCAGGCAGATACAAAAAAAAGCTCCGGAGAGTTGTTGCCCCGCAACTGACTGTTTGATGATTTGAAATGGCTGTTTGGGAGCCGTAAACAACGATGTTAGAAATTAAAAGTGGGCAAGTACAAGTCTCAAAACACGTGTTTAGTACCGTGTTATGGGGAAATTTCTGTATCAAATTAATTTAGTATTAACTCCATCTCTGTGAATATCGACTGTGCTCTCTCAACAGATATGATGCACACACATTTATGAATACTCACACAGATTTTTCTTCCTTCCTGTCGTCCTCTTTGTCTCTCTCACACACACACACACACACACAGACACACACACTAATGCAGATGCTGACAGATATGAACGTGATCTATGACTTTATCATGCAAACGGCGTGTTGTTCGAACATTAATGTGATGCCTTCCTCTGTTTTGTGTCCCTACAGAGAGCAAAGAGGTGTACAAGAGACAGGTGCTGTCAATCACATCCATCGCAATGGCAATCAGCCTCCTGGGAACCCTGTGCATGGCCCTCTACTGCCGCAACAAGTGAGAGGACGAACACACAAAAACATACCCACAGATATACTGTCTTTTTTAACTGTTTATTTTTGTCAATGTAACAGTTATCTGTTAAGACGTAGTTCCAGTTTCATGCAATGTAAGTGCAGTTAATCGCCAAGGAGGATGTGGTGAAATTGCAAAAAAAAGTAATCAGACAATCATGTCTGTTTTAAACAAATTCCAGACATACACATTCAATTCTTTTATCCAAATGTCCTACTGTAGCGGTGTGCACACACGTTTCCTGTGCAGTAACAAATTACCACCAACATTTCAGGTGTGGGTTACGTGTCTCGGAGATCACTGGTTTGAGTAAGGGCTAAATGTGGGGAAACACAAGTTGATATGAACTTTGACACAACAAGTTCACGCACTGTCATTTTTACATTTTCACCCAACTCTTCGATGGACTCAAGTTTATGCACAAACGTCCCATATTGGATTTTCTCTTGAAGATGTCGGCAGGTAAATTAGTTGCACTGACATCTCACATCATGCCAACCACCAGTTTTCTTTCATTTCATTGGAACTGAAAGTTGCTCCAATGATTTTCAAACTTTTAAACTTGCTTAGACGACAACATTTATGGTGAAATCTGCCATAAGTCCTAAAGTAAGCATAATGTTAAAGTGTTTGGTAATAAGCCCAGATGGGTGTGGGCAGACGAAATGCCCAAGGAGACATTTTGTTCATTTAGTGAAGGACGATGGAACATGTTGAGGCATCTTGAACGAAATCCCAGACCGGGTATTTGCAACAATTTGTAAATCTCATTATGCACACACACATATTCATAGGCCATTATAACCCAAAGGTCACCACATGTGGCTCCTGCTCTCTTTCTCTTTCCTTTCTGTCCTTCTCTCTCTCTATTGGCATATTTTTTCAGTGCATGCCCCGTGTGTGCATGTTAATTGGCATATGAATGGCTGCAAGAACTTTGCATAGCTGTTTTCTCAACAGGATGGGTCAAACATCCGGTGCATAACAGGTTGTGTGTGATAGATGGCACTGTAATTCCATAGGCTTCCCTCTGTAATATAATGATGTGAGTGAGTGAGCAGGCTGACAACAAGATAATCGGATAAAGGCATGATGGACAGGCACGACAATGAATCCGTAATTGAGTCAGGAAACTAGCTTGTTCAATGGAGAAGATGCTTACAGAATGGGAGGAAGTGTTCATGCAAATCTGAGTGACCTGAATGAAGATAAAGTCAGAGGTTTTCTCACACTGAGCCAGACAATGCTGTAGCAGTTGATCTTTATCGGTGCACAGTGTAATGCCTGGCCACATTCCAAATAACCAGGGGTCAATATTTCACCTCCAAACAATCTGAATTTAAAGTCAGAAGTTATAAAAACAAATTGAAAATTGGAACAAACTGCTGAAACTCTAAAGGCCGGTCAAAGTAACACTGCCATCTTGTAATCTTCAAGTGTGGAGTCGGCTTATAGTTTACTGTGCCACTGACTGGGGGCTGTACAGTATGTTCTTAAAGTTTGATTATTGACTCCAGGGTGGCAGAGATGAGGGAACGTTTCGTACTTTTGTTTGTTTTTTCCTCCCCGCGGACGGCCCTGCTTCGCCGGGAGGGGAAGCGTGCGGTGGCTAACACCGTGACTTGCATGACTTTGGCTGTGTAAAGTGTCTGCTGGCCTACGGTGGGCAGTTTAGGTGCAAAATCTGCGAAGACTGACGAGCAAGAAAATACAAGAGAGAAAAGAACAGGAAGAGAAGGTAGCAAAGCTCCCTAAATTAGATTCCTTGGGTGTCCCGGGAGCACTTTACATTGAGTAGCGCGCACTGGGGCCCCTTGTTACTACCCGACACCACGAGATTAGAACTGTGTTAACACAATTTCTTTGTGTTTCTGACAAGAAGCTCAGTATTTAAGGATTCAGCAAAATCCAAATTTACAATAACTGTCTGTCACATACAGTGTGGTGAAGGTAATACCATGATTATGGCAAATAAATGACAGGTAAGGAACAGTTAGAGGTAGGCAACACATTCCATTACAATTCATAAAAGCATAAAAGTGAACTGGTGGTCTGTGACGAGAAGAGAGCAACAGTCTCCTTCATAAAAGTTGAGCTCACTACACAGTAACATGTGGACACCTGTGCAGCATAAGCTTCTATCGTAAAGAGCAAGCCTACCCGTTTACATGGTGAAGCATCAAATAAACAAGGCTTTAGAGGAGATAATGGTGAGGCTGTTTGTTAATACTGCATCACATCCCTGTCCAAATACGTGATAAAAGGGTTACGTGCGCAAGCTTGGGTAACGAGTGTCATAACAACTAAGAGCGCGTAATGTACGCTGATCAGAAACACAATCAATAAGAGTTTAAGATGAATGTGAGGAATCAGATTTCAAACCTCTAGACCTCTTGTCATGAGTAAGGTCTGCCTCAATGCATGATGAGGGTCAAACGAATTACTCGTCCAGTGAGGGACTTCAGTCCGTCGGTGTCTTTGCAAGCGTTACAAAGCCATTCTCAACCATGTTTCTGAAAACACATTTGAGGAATGAAGAGTCTAGACTTAAAACATCTTCACAGGATACATTAAATGGAGTCAATATATACTGGGATTGTGTATCACTGCTTTGGGAGAAAAGGAGGAGAGGTATAGATAGAAAACTCCTTTGTTTGGTCAATAGCTCACTTTCTTCTTCTCCTCTCTCCCCAAGGGCAGGAGACTGGAAGAATGCAATTCTCCTTGGCCTCTGACTCATTTTATAAAAGTGTGTCGGTGGATGAGTCTGAAAGATTCTGCAGAGTTTCTGCGGTGTACTTTATCAGAATGACACAGGGTAGTATGGATATTTAGAAAGTAAAGTAGGATAATGGCCCATACATTTAATTGAGTAGAAGATTAAAAACAAAGTAAAATGCTTTATTCTGTATTTTAACCTGTATGCTTGCTATTTATTTTTTTGCTGTAGCTACTGTAAGCTGTTATGTTTGAGGTTCCTGGAAACCCTCAGAACCACTATTGGAGCCAGCTGACTCGGGAAAGGGGTCTTTAAATCGATCGCATCTACGGCAATTAGGAACGAAGTTTGTTGTCCAAGAGGAGACTGCAGCTGATGAGTTATAGATAGATAGATAGCCTGATATGTTCACTGTTCATCTCGGAACCCATCAGCTATCGGTCTGACGACAGTTCTTGGAGCAAGTGGCTATATTTTGGGGTTCCCGGGGTAGCCAGCGGGTATCCGGGCCAAGACTTCCTTTTCCGTAGCAGGACTGTAAACAGTGAGCAGCTCCAATGTTTACAATCCGATTACTAACTTCAGATGCGAGACAGGAGTTGGAGTTGAGAGACAACTTTCACGATCAGATTGTTTCACAAGTAGCCAGCTTCCAACCTAATTTTAAACCGATTAAAAAGCTAAATCATCTTCAGCCGGTAGCCGTTGGGCTCTCACGACGAGGTACCTGAAGCGGTAACTCCATCCGTGGAGATGGGCAGTCAGTGGGCAAATCGCCGTTTGCTGAATAGAAAAAGGATACAGGCACTGGTGATTGTTGCCTTATATACTGTGAGGTAAGCACTTGTTTGGTTTGGCACGTCCTGATTGGCCGGCTACACAAATTATCTGTGGACGAATTTACGCATGTGATTGGAGGAGAGTGTTACACACACCAGTAGAGTGCAGTACATTAAAGTTGTAAGTTAGAACTGGTTTATTTGGTGGGAATGATGATTCCAAAACATAATTATGACACTCATGAATGTTTTACTAGAAGTAATTTGAAAAGCCTAACGTGACGGTCTCTAAACTGAATGCAACTGAGGAACGTACTTTGCCCTGGTGTAATTGTACCAGATGTTTTATCCTTATACTTATTAAAGCCAGTGTTACCACAAACACCACTTACTGATTCAATAATCATTGACATTATATACTGATTGGTTGGGGGTAGAAACCAGCAGACCTACACATGATTCACAGTAGTTGGGGTGACAATGGTCGACGGTCAAAATTCCACTTGAGCATCATCCTTTTTTTGTTATTCCTTCTCTTTAGGAGGCGCAGAGAGAAGCTCCAGGCCCACCTGAAGGAGAGTCGCAGTTTGAAAAACTACACTGCTAATTCCCATAATGCCCTGGACGCCAAGATGAGGGTCCCTAACACCAACCTGCAAATGCATGAGGTGACCACTGCTGTTTTTGCTTTTTCCATCTTGATTTACTTTCGAATTGTTAATGCCCTATAGTGAAGGACTGCCATACATGTAAATACACTTGGAGAATGTATAAATGTGTGTAAGTCGGGGTGATCTGATTTTATTCATGAACTGATGTTTGGAGGACAGCATTACGTGGCATTAACTTTAACCTGTTGTGGTTAAAAAACAATAAGACTAAAAAGAGTTGGGCTTCATATTTGTCATTATGAAGACCATCTTCAGTTGCTTCTAGCAGCATAGAGATACAGCAGCACCAAGAAACCCAGCCTCTAAAGTAATCTTCTTAGACATCTAATACCATTAGATGCCACAAATTTAGAATGATTTTTAGCTTGGATTGGTGCTTTAGGCAGCGAAAATTTAAAATGAACCCAAATCAGGCCTGTACAGTACACGTTACACCTCAGAGCACTAGGATCTATGATTGAGTTTATCACCCCCCAGTAGTTTTTAGCTGCTTCATGAAATAGGTTGTATTCCCGTCTCCACCTGGCCACTTGCATCAGGCTCACAGGTCTTTGAGTGAGCAATCGCTCAGTGGTTTGGGAGCTCGGTGCTGGCCAGCGATGTCATTCATCATCTTCCCAGCGCTCTTTGTCATCGCATCTCTCCCAGATGTGCGTTTGGGAGTAGTGGCATGGAAAACATCACATTCATTTGAGTGCCAGTCAAATCCACATCTTCCATTACCTTGGGGGAGTGTATGCGTGCATTTGTGCGCCGCTCTGCATGAATTAGCTGTAACCGTTTTTTACATCTCTATCATATACAGTTAGTTACTTATGTAATTTACACAGGTCTGACATGAAGCTTTATTGGATGAATAGTATCTTTCCTCCAAGGGCATGATTTAAATTTACAATGAAGCAAAACCCATGTACTGTACACACTCTCAATCCATCATAAACACATTAACATACACAAGGTGGATAAATCACTGTGTGGGAGCAGCACATTTGTATCCTGTATTTGAGACTCATGTTTGCATGAAGTAGAGATAATTACAATTCATGCCAAGTCATTGACAAGTCAGTCCTTGGCCTGATATGCCTGATTTGGCCTCATTGTTCCCATCAGTATAAAAGAAAAAAACTACATTTGGTCTGCATTTCATTGGTCTGACACCAAAGACCACGGTTCCCTTTCTATCTCCTACCAACAGTCAACGCTAATTCCTTAAAACCACGAAGGATGTCTCTTATCTCATCCGCACTTTAACATAGTTGTTTTGGTGCTTCCACTTCACCGGCACTTAAAGCAATAGTTCAATATTTTGGGAAATGATATGCTATGCTAAGCTAACTGGCAATAGCCTCATATTTACCGTTTCCCATCCAACAAAACTGCTGTCAGTTACATTGTGAGGGAACGTATTTGTCACAGGTTACGCATTTGACATATCAAAAATAAGTTTGAGTTTAAAGTCTGCATAATTCAGCGGTTTTGGTGCTTGGATGGGTCAAACACAGGACTTTCACCCAGTAGACTGGTGGTTCGTGTCTTGTGAAAAAGTAAAATAAGTTATTTTAACCCAAAACATGATCTTTTACTAAACCTAAACCTGGTTTTGTTGCCTAAACGGGAAAGTCATTCAGAATGCAGTTTCACAAAAAGTTAATATGAAACATGTTTGGTTTAAAAAATGTTGAGATTTAACGTTTACATGATTGGCAAAAACAAACAGTGGCAACATTCGATGCTGGCGACTGGGTTGACTGTACGGACATGGGAGTGGTATCGGTTTCCTTATCTTACAGTGAGCCCAGTTCCCAAAATGTCAAATTTAAAAATAGAGGGATCAGACAAATTTTGAGTCATAGTTGGTGTAATCCCATCGCAAGATGCTCTCTAGTTGTGAGTCTTTTATTGTAATTATAATCATCACATATAGACTAATACCTCAGGTGTATCACCAGTGCAAGCAACAAGGTGACAATATACTGCATAAAATGTTTCAATGCCTAACATGAATCAACAGGTCAAGGAAGTTAAATTGTTGAAAGGAGCAGGGCTGCACAGGCCCTGTCGACTTTAATCTATAGACTTTGAAACACAAGGGCGTTCTTGCCTGGGGATCTAGAATTTCAGTTTGCAAAGGGTTCAGATAAGATGTAGCTTGGAGACAGAGCTAACCAAAGCTTGAAAGTAATCTGTAAAATTTGTGAAGGCGGTGTGTCAGGTGTGCCACCTCCTATTACCCTCAAGCTCAGTGCCCTGCCAAGGACAAAGAAACTGGCTTCCCGGACTTCCATGAAGATCAAGGGAATGGCAGCAATCCAACCTTCCACATGGATTTAGATCTTATCAAGTGCGGCCATTAGAAGTTAATCATATTACGTTGCAGTTTCAACCTAAATGTCCCAGTAATTGAGAATAAATAAGAGTTCTTCAAGTACATTCAAATGGATTCATGTATATTTATCAAACTGGCAAATGACACCAGATCAGTTATTGATAAGGAGGATGTCTGTTTAATGTGCAACCAATCACACCAATGTTCTTCTCACTCATTATTATTCTACCTTCATTTGTTGACACTCAACCACTAAATGTCAGTTTGATATTTTTTATATCTTTTTGTAAAACATTTTTCCACTTTTCTCATTGTAAACGTCAATGGCAAGAATGTTCTTCTTTCAGGTCGGAGCTCCGTTAAAACTTTAAATGGGTCACTGCACTTTATCACTTTACTTCAGCTTTGCAATATCTATTTCGCACTTTCTGAAGAAATCACAGTTTAGGTTTTGTGCTTCTTTTGGAGTTTCAGATACCTGTTCTTAGCATAGCATATTTCCGTCTATGTGTTTACATTGCAGTAAATAGAGACTACATAAAATCACATGCAAAAAGCAAGAATGGCATCTTTATTGCACTTAAAAGGACATACTGTACGTAAGTTGTTTCATTCATACGCCGGGGTGGTTTAAGAGACATATTTGTACTGTTGACTAATGTCTCATAAGTGTCTAAAACAGCATGCCACATCTGCACAGCAGTGTCTATGGTTAAATACATGTGGAAGGAGCAACATAGCTGATGATAAAAGTAGTCCTTTGGCTCTTATTCTGCTAATTGCTCTATTAGCACTGACTAATGAATTACTGATCATTGTTAACTGACTACAGAATGTACAACTGAGAAAAACAAAGCTGATCTTTAACGTTTAAATGTTACTTTTAAGCCTTTTGGGAACTTGCATGCAAATTAATTGTTTTGTTTTTTTGTATTTTTCTTTTGTCATTTTTCTTTTGTGCCTACGTGCCCAAAGTCACATTGATCTCTGTCTGCAGGCAATAAATTACCCAAATATCTGAACACAGAGCAACAAGCACAGGGTTAAGTTTAGTGTGTCATACACAGCAAGTTAATTCACTCTTTGTCAAATTTCTGTTGCATGTCTCTGCCACAATTAAAACCAGATTTGTTTGTTTTTTGTAATTTAACTTTTAAAGAGATTTCATATATTCATTTATATATATTTCTGTTGCACTTAAGCACATGTACATGTAGATAAACATCCCATATAACCGGGCAGCTCATGACAAGGACAGCTGAACTATCCTGTTAGTGTCCTGTTATACAGAATTAGCTCTTCTGATTAGCACCGCAGGGCCCTTTTTGTTGGAAGTATTTGATTAAGCAGGGAACTGAGGAGCAGCTCCAATCTTTTTTCCTCTCAATCAGGTTTTACCACTTTATCTTGTATTCCACAGGTATCCCACTGAGTTTGTCTGTCATTGCCGCATAATTGAAACGGCTCGGTCTCCGTCATGAACGAGACTATCCTGAGCCTTCTCTGCTAATCTGAGAATGCAGTGTGTTTGGTCATAGCTGTATATGTGAGTGTGTGTGTGTTTATAAAGCTATTGTTGATGGCAGCATCTCTGCACAAATCAAAAAAATCATCTCCTGGTTCCTTTCCGGATGATCTGTCAGAGTTAAAAAACCTGAGTGCCAGAGGCATACAGTTGGATGTGAGTCCCGATCTCAGAGATTAAAACATCCTCTACAGTACACAGACATATATACATTAATAAACGTCATTACGTGCTCCCCTTTGCACCACAAATGTCTAGATTCAGCTTGAAGTCGCTGTCAAAGTAATGACTTTTGCACCATTGTATCTGTTTGTGTGTGTGTGTGTGTTTATGGAGCCAGAGAGCAGAGTTTCTTTGCCTGCAGCGATGTGAGAAAACATTACATTTATATTGATGACCTCTAAAAACAGTCAGTATTGCTGTATGACACATGCACACGGTTTCTGTTGTTTTCCTTGAGCAGTAAAGCCGAGATCTATTTTTAAACTGAAACAGGTTTCAACACAACACAGTGTCTGCATTAACAGATTGGAGGCACTTTTCCCTCTTTTAGCTGGTAGGCAGAGATTTTTATTAACCTATAACGGATACATAAGTTAAACACAATACTGTTCCTGCCTTTAACTATCAAGCAAAGCATTGATAAGTCAGTGAACTTCAGTTAGGATTAACAGGGGTGATTATTCTTCCAGCTATTTTTTCTTAAACATGAATAAATTAACATACAAGCATAAACCGATCCTTCTCTGTTTGAAGAATTATAGCCCGCAATCGTAGTCGTATGCATAATGTCACACCTTTTTTTTGAATTTTCTGTTTTATCACAGACTGAAAAAAAGAGCAACTTTTGTCTGGAAGCGTCTGTATCAATTTGCAGCTTGGAAGAAAAGCAGAGAGAGAGCGGAGATCAGAGAAAATTAAGCAATTTAGAATCCAGACACATTCAACAGGGTGGTGTTGGATTAGACTTGTCACTCCTTCAGATACTATGTATTTGTATTTTTTTAAACTAACAATATCAACCAATGCACTGCGCAAGGGATTCCAAAAAAGTTGGAAGTGCAAAGCTAAAATGGAAAAATAAATCGCAACACAGATTAGTATTCTTCATGAGTACATTGGCCTTTTATGTGTAAAGTTGATCTAAGCTTCAAACTGTGACACGTGATTTACCTTTAAACCACTTGTCAGCTCTTCGGTAGTGTAAACTTCTGTTGAAGCTCCAACTATTAGTCCACCCAATGCCATTCTGACCAAGATACCCAATAATAAATAACTCGCATTATTCAGACAGCCAATGTTTCTTAATATTCAGAGCCAGTCAGCGTCAGTCCCTTATGTATTTAGAAAATATGATTAGCACTGGCAGAAGGATTATGTCAGATGTAGAGACACCTCCATGAGTTCAACCTATATCATTATAAAGCTGCCTTCAGCAACTATCTGTGTCATTCCCCAAAGATAATTTGTCAATTGAAAAATCAACGTAGCCACACTCTTTCAGAGTCAAACTAAAGTCAGCTTTGCCAGCACAGCATGGAGTGATTCTACCTTGAAATAAGATGAGCACTGTTTCAACACTTGAGATCCACCGCTCTTCCTAATGAACCCTACCTTCTAATCATCGACATTCCTGCCTCAGTGCAGCTGGTAGTCTATATACGGTATAAATTCAAGTTAGGAGAGAAAGTGTGTCATGGATTTATAAGTACAAATCGGCCTTCAAATGTCTGAATGTTCACATAACCGAGGAAGCTACTGTCATGCTAATGAGGCTGGTGTCCTGCAGAGGGTCCCTAAAAAGGGATTGCGTCAGTGACAACCTTGTTAGTCAGACATCAAACTAAGAACTTTGTGCACAAGGTGTCTCTCCCACCTTAAGTTACAGAAGATTCTTTCTAGACGATGCCGAGATAATGATGCGGAGAGAAAACTGTCAAAGCCAGATAGATGAAAACCACCGATAGGGTTGTGTAGTAGATAAGAAATCAAACCAGCGCCATACTCCTTACATCTTTAAGGTTTTTAAAGTTGAAAAGCTGAAACACTTTCTTGTGTTGCCCCGTGTTCAGCAGATCTTTTCTGCTGTGTAACTGAGTGAGTCTGCCTTGTCACCCGTATTGTGAAGTGCAGAACAAAGAAGTGTTTGGTTTTTATTGCATATCTGTCTCTCTGGAGATGGGGGATGAACATGAAGGGAGCTAAGAGGCAGAAGATGGGACTTGCATAGTGCCACGGTAGTGCCGATATAGATATCCTGTCACGACGGCTACCAGAAGGAAAGAGGGAACGAGAGGGGACAAGGGAAGGATCATTGTGGATGAGAGGGGATTCAAAGGGGATGGAAAGCAATAAAAAGAACAATATACAGCAGTGTTATAGAAAGAGTGCCTTTCTGAGCAAAATGAAGCATTAATCTTGTCAGAAATCACCAAAGTGAAAAAAATGCAAGACTCGCCAATGTATTGTTTGAGAGTACAGAAGGATGTGAGCCAACAAAACTTTGATTTTATCTGCCAAATGATTGTTGCAGGCAATAGGCACTCGTGTAATGTAAAAAGGGTAACTTTCCTTCAACATATTGGCTGGTTTTGTGATACTTAATTCTCCATCTCTGAACATATCTCCATTTAATCCGGATCTTTCTTTATGCCACTGTACAAAGTACAGAGGACTTAATTACATAGATTTTCTGATCAACGTTCCCGCTGTGATGAATCCAGGCTTTGAAAGGACTTATTAATGATTAATTTCTTGGCATTTCTGCCTTATTTGATGATTTAACTCATAGAAGAGATCAGACAGAGAGATGCGTTGATATGTAAATGATGTATACATCGCCATGAAGGCTGTTATCACAAAGTCCATTCCAGTAGCATTGAAGACAGAGCAACGGTTCCCAAACTTTTTGGGCTTGTGTTCCCTTAAAACAAAGCAATGTCACGAAGTAGTGCATGCTTTGAAGCACCAGTGGTTACAGCGCATGTTACATAACCACAATGTTTGATTCCAGCCTTGGGAGCATGATACCCATCTCTCTCACTCCTCAAATACACTTTCCTCTGTCAAATTAAGGCAAAAATGTCAAAAAAATATAGTTACTACTAGGAACTTTTAACTGGTTATGAAATAGTCTTAATTTAATACTGATGCCTCTATATGTGTCAGTGAGAAGATTGGCTTGTTCTATATAGTTATTCTGTCATCGAGTCAGAATTTGGCAAATTTAGACATAATCATGCAGGTTCACCAGACTCAGACTCTGCCGGCAGCAACCAGCCCGCCGCAGACGGACCCAGATCCAGTTTCACTGCCGCCTTTGATCTGCATTTAGATCTCTTGCAGGAGGAGGCGAGCTCAGTGCACTGCATCTGCGTAGCTTCCTCCGGCCAGGAGCGGAGCTTTGCCTCGCTGCTCAGCCGGTCCCCGCTGGGAACTATCACCGACACCACATTGCTGTAGACCCAGGCCTTATTGTTGGGCCCGCTGGAGGGAAGGGAGGTACAGGAGAACCAAAACCAGGACTGCGAGTGTTTGCCGTTTGTCAAACACAGACACATTAGAAAACAATATACCATATATGACAATTGCCTTTCACCTGTAATATCATAAATAGATCTCCAGTGCATTTACCAGGTAGCTATCACCTTTTTTTTTGCCCAGCTGCCACTTGTTCAGCCATCATTGGCACGTCTGGACCTCGTACCACGTTGCCACCATTGCTTGAAGATTTGTGACAGAACCTGAAGCCTTAATGCTGCAAACTATCAGGAGCCTCCCTCTCCTCTCCACACGGTACAATTTACCGCATTCCCTGAAAAAGCAAGAGCGATGTAGAAGAAGGTGGAAAAGAGGCGGAAATAGATGTAACCGGACTCCATTTAATCTCTGAGCTCTCAGAATCAAGTCAGTAGGCACTCCCCTCCTCGAACCTGTCAGTGTGAGAAGGAGCAAGGTGGGAGTTTAGAAATGTAAGAAATTTCAATATACCCTGATGTTTGATCCTGAGTGGGAACAAGTTGTATTGCATGATGTAATATATCCAAAGTGTTCCTCAAAACATGTGAACTGCAACAAAAATGTATTGTTCTTGTTTGTTTCTGCAAACGATCCACCCAGTCCCGCCAGGGGAACGTTTGTGGGTCCAGCTTTGCACACTGCAACATCTCCACCACGCCACCCAACGGCTCCAGGGGAGCAGCGAAACATCAGAGGTATGGCTTTTAAATTGCACACACACGGTCACATACAGGCATAACGTCACACTAGAGATGCAGCTTCCCCCTCCGTTCACTGCAGGAAACGGCAAATGCAAATAATATCAACTTCAGCGTCCTTTCCTGTAATCAGCAGGGATGCAGTGAAGAGAGAAATTAAATTATCCACATTACAGCGGAGCCAAAGTTAATTGCTGATTCATGGAAGAACGATAGCCATTATAATTAAAGCTATAAACATGCTAATAAGCATATCTATAACACTCATGAACAATGAGGAGATGGGACAGAGATAAAACGGGAAGCACATGTGCAGGCATTTATGAGCCAACACAGGCATGTAAATCCCTGTAAGCTTTCTTCTCACACTGCTGTTGGCACTGGCATGTTCATCAGCAAGCAACACACTCCCAACACACACCTCTGGCAGAACTGGAATTCACATATTTGCCAAGGCTGAATTTTGTGTTCGGGTTTGTACGTCATTGGTATTCGGTTTTTGTATTTTTAACCTGTGGTTTTGTGTTTTTACACGTGTGAGAAAGAGTTAAAAGACAGCTTGATTTTGGATTCACATGAAACCTTTTTTTCCAAACGTTGCATGGGGGAAATGAGTAAAATGCTCACATGATGCTTTTTTGACTTCTCTCTCCTTCATCGCTGTTCATTCACACCTGAGAGCCTCTCAGCACACTCATGGGTTTTGACCTCTAACTGCTAAGCAACTCTACCAGAGCACCTGTGGTTTAATCAGCTTTTTTTTCAAAGGGATCCAGGCAGTGGTTCAGAGGATTTTTTTTTTTTTTCCCGGATAAACTAGAAATGTGTTCAGACAACCCTCAAACCACAACGTCCACTTCTCTAACCTATTGGCTAAACTCCTGCAAGGCTTTTCTTGCTCCCTTTCTTTCCATTTCTCGCTCTCTCGGGTGAAGAGCCGAGCTGATCACGAGGTTACTTGGCTGGTAGTCTGTTACTCTTCCCACAAATTACTTTCTCAGTGGGTGAGCGGAGTTTATTTGTTTGCAATCGCATAGGCAATCGCATAGGCTTAGGCAGAGACTTGGACACTATTGTCCGGATAGCAGAGTGTGTTGGAAGACCACATACCAAAATAGCCAGAAAGAAACTGACCAGAGCTAATTCTGTGTTTCATGAATATCTCGTTTAAATGCTTTAATACAAAACTCTGCCAACTATTAAGTGCCTGACTGTAAGCAGGGCTTTCAGTTGTTATGGCTAAGAAGCCCATTTTTAGAGGCAAATCTCTGCTTCAAAACAGCAGAGTTAAATACGAATGAGAGCCTGGAGAGGACATTTACCACTTCAGTCATGACTTCAAGTGAAAATGTACTTAACCCATTTTCTGGCTCCAAAATCTCTTTTATAAGATTATATGAAAGAGGACATGTGGATAACACCATGCTTTCTAATTATTGTCATATCTGAGAGCAAGAAATCACCCTTTTTCTTAAAAGATGTGTAACTAACCAGAGGTCATTTTAATAACCTCATTCCAGTAACCTTTTTGGTAACTCTGGTACTACACTCACATTTTGACAAAAGCAACTTTTGACTGTCGTTTTAACTGCTGATCAGAGGTCCTCATGGCTCCGAAATGTTGGAGCCAATCCAAAACAGACTAACGAAAAAACTAGCAAAACCCTATGTTTGTGAGTTAATACACAAATACATAAGCAGTAACAATCAATGTACGCCGTCTGCATCAAATCAAAAAACTCCTGAGATACTGTGTTAAACACTAACTCCTGAATCTTTATCGAATTATTTTTTCTTTCGTAGGAGTGGTTCCTTGTCTCACAGCCCAGATCAGAGAACCCGGGTAGCCCATTGGTCAGCTCCACGCAGGACCCCGCCCATACCCAGGGGAAAGCTGAATCCGATCGGAGGATCCAAGTTTTCAGGCCACGCCTACCAACACCTTGAGGAAGTGGACTCATCTGAGAGGGAGGCTGAGGCACAAAGAGGGTGAGGAGATTGTACTGAAGGCGTAGATTACAGTTATTTAATTCACATTATTGACACAGAAATCTTTAATCATAGAAATCTCGCTGTGAGACAATCAAGCAAACACGGACTTTCACCCAGGACACTGCTGTTCGTGTCAGGTGTGAAACCATGTCAACGTTGACTTATTTTACCAAAGTTTTGTTTACATAACTTCCAAATTACAGAACGCGTAACCTAGCATGACCACAGATACGTTTGCTGTTGGTTACTTTCCAAAGTGCCACCAAATTGCCTAATTCGCCAATATGGACGCACCGGCGCTGGATTCCTGTGAACACAGAAGTATATTTTGAAAAGACACTGTGCATGTAACTTGCGGAAACTGAATCACAGTCCCTGAAATGTCCAAAACCGGCACTAGATTGGTGCCTATAGCGTCATAGTCTGAAGCGTAGGGCCACTGACCAAGCTTCAGTATTTGACAAGTTGGGAGAAGAAGTGTTGAGCTTAAAGATTTGGAGTATTTTAAGGTTTCATCTTCACTTTCTTTCTATCTCCACTTTGCTTCTTTGCTGTATCCTCCATGTGCTGAGTCATTTCAATGAAAGCCACTGCCTGAAAAATACAGACTTGCCATGGACAAAGCTTTGGATTTCATTTCAAGAGTGGATATTTCAAAGCCAATTCTGTGATATTTTATTCCCCAAAAAGACCATCATTTTTTTTTCATTTTACCTCCTTTAGCCTCATCAATCCCTTTGTTTTCCAATCTGCTGAGCAAAGATAAAAACAAGGTCACGTTATGTTGTGGTGTGCAGTACAGTGGCATGAGTTCAAAAGAAATGCTTTCGCCTGATGCCCGTGCTTTTAAGGACACGGTACAGGCTGCACATCCACATTCTTCACTCTCTCTTTCCCTCTCTGACATCTTGTCAAGCCTGAGCTAAATTCTGAATCTCAGCTTTTTAATGTGACGGCTTAGCAGGTAGACAACAATTAAATCCTGGCATTTAAATATAACACAGTACACTTCTCAGGCAGAACAGCATGTGCATACGGTAGCGGCTGGGGGAAATGCAAATGATCAGTGCGAATGATTAGCAAGAAACGTATTGAGTGTGAAAGGAGCTGTGATTTGACCCATTTTGGGTGGGTCATGAGTCAGTGCTTTACCCACCTGGACTGGCAAGCCTTACTTCAGGCGTTCAGGTCCCAGCGGTCCCGCCTCAGGATAAAGCTCCACATGACCTACATGCATACTAATAGAAAGAGAGAGAGCAGACAGACATGGCTGGGGAAAGAAACACACTCCAACATACAGTGAGCATACATGCACGCCAATAGCATGCATATTGTGAATGAAGTGACGTGCACACATGGAGGGCCCTGCCATTTTTGCTGCAATCGCCTAAGTTTTTTTTTTTTTAGATATTTATTGAAGCAGGATATTTCATGCTTCATTTGTTCCCAAATGTAAAGAGGGACACTTGAGCTGCTTAAGTGTGCATTTCCTCAACACAAGTGTTGACCCAGTGCCGCTCAGGTGACCCTCTTGTAAGCCCAAGCAGCCTTTGGTCATAGAAAGTCCATCCACACAACCCGAATCTCATGGGAAGGCGTATAAATAGCATGTCATTTGTAACATTTCCGCATGTAATTATTATGCATTTTAGGCTTTTCACCTCTGCCCAGATGTCCTTGGTTTAATCCAACTGTGTTCTGGTCAGCCAAGGGTCCCATGGTCAGTCTAAATGCCCTCTGGTTGGGCATATTATGTTCTGGTTGGCCCAAGTATCCGATAGGTTGAACATATGTCTTCAGGTCAAGCGGTGTCCTCTAATCAACCAAAGTACCCCTCTGGTCCCCCTTACGGCCAGGCCACAGTGTAAACGTAACAAAGAGTCCACCAAATGTATATTTTTACTGGCTACACCTGCAGAGTACATAATGCATAGGATTGTGTGATTGAGTCCACATGTGTTACACCCTCTATGTCGCCTGGGCATTAGTGCCCTCTGGTCAGCTGAGGTTACCTTTGGTTGACCCAAACGATCTCCTGGTCAGATGTCAAATGTCCCTCAAGTGTCCTCTAGTTGGCCCAAGTGTCCTTTGCCGCCCAAAAGCTGCTCTGTTTTGACTCCTTTACATTTTTGCCCCTTCACCTAGAGCATCTGTGCACACCACTGCGCAGAATGAAAACTCCCCCTTCCAAAAAACACAGCAGATGGACGGACAGACAACAGGCTCCCTCTCCCGTGGTATGGTTGTCTGAGTTGCCATGGAAACATCTGACCATAAATGCATAGAGACCGAGGGAGGGATGCAGAGACAGAGACAGAAATAGAGAGACAACCGGTTTGAATCCATTCTGACACAGATGGAAAGTGTTCAAAAATATAGTAAAAGAAGAAAGAAACAGGGGCAGTAAAAGGATGTGATAGAGGAGTGTGCAGATAGCACATGACAGTTAGAAAAGGCTTTAAAAGAACGGGTGTCCGTTCTATTCCATACCTGTTAGAGAAGCCTTGTGTTATCTCAACAAAATGGCTGACAGGGAGACAGAATGTCCTGTGTTGTTACTTCTATTTTAAGATAAAGCTGTCTCCAAAATGGCTGATGGAGATACTGCACAGTTTTATATTTCTGTCCACTGTTTGCAGTATTTTATGCAGCAACATGCCGTTTCTTTTCCCTCCCTCACTTAGTTTGTTTTGCGATGTATTATACACACAACCTTCAGTTAGAAAGTCACAGCTTCTGTGTGTAGGCGTGCGCATCTACATGTATGTATAAAATCTGGAACATTTCCCAGTTTAAAAAAGTCGCTGCATCACATTACATAAAGATTTTACTTTGACGTCAGCAGCAAACAGATGCGATATATTAAGTCGGGGAATGGATTAATGAAAATGACTGTTAACACTTGTGCACATCATGAGCTCCTGTAAAAGATAAAAGCCCAGTCACTTATCTCACCTCACTTGCACACAATCTCTCTGTAATACCCCTCTAGCTGTTCCATCGTCGCTCCAGGGTCTGTATTTGAACTCCGCTTCATAGATTTTTGCAATCTGATTATGTTTCAACACATCAAAAGAGAGATTTGTCTGTGAACGTTATCTTGGGAATTAGCACCCTAGCATCATCCTCTCTTATCGCTCACGGGATCCTCTCTGTGGGCCTCGCTAAATCTCCACTGTGGTTTTTTTTTTTTTGGGGGGGGGGGGGGGTTTTGGTGAGGTTTTCACGCCTCGGAAAAATACTGCGGCGATAAAAGGACGGCGTGATTTCCTTTTGAGTTTGAAAAGGCACCTTCTCCTCCCACCGCTATTTTTGCGAGCCTTGATGGAGAGCGTGGAGTGTGTGTGATGTGGTATTACAAGGGAGAGGGACTCCGAGTTTGATTTTTGACTTGGCAGAAAAGGCTAGCCTTTGCAGAGGATTATGAATTATTACACAAAGATAATGAGGCTCTGGTCTGGAATGCCGCTGGATTTAGACACCGATAGCACTGAAGGCCATGGTCAGTCTTAGAAAAAGGCAGAAAGAGATTATGGCTGGGCTCAAGGAAGTTAGGTCAAGACCCAGATACGGAGCAGAGACTTGATGTAATGTTGCAGAGAACACACCAGCAGCGGCAGAGAAGTGTTTTGTTGGCATCTCCAAGGAAGGAAACAAGAATAGTGGTTTAAGAGGCATTCAGTGCAAGTGCAACGTACATTTAGCGCGTGAATGCGCATCCACCTGCAGCATTACGGGCAGAGCAACTGACGTAGTTTAAAGAGCCAGATAGTCCACACATGGCGGGTGGGAGGAGAGGTGGATGGGTCAAAGAAACACATGCTTACTTCCAGGAGACCGCTATTCCTTTCCAGTGTAAAAATAACAATAAACGTTGACACTGACGAAGCTCATTATTTGATGCATTGGTGTGAGAATGTGTTTATCCGGTTAATTCAGTACATCTAAAGGCACTGAATGTATCGCATTTTCACATCAACACAATTTTCAAAACCTCATTTGAATAAAACACTTGGTGTTGGAAACGGGGATAAGGGGATAGGAGCATCCCAGTTTCTTGCACTGAATTTCTGCTTGAGAAACCAAATTTATTTGCCATGTACAGCACAGCCCGGGAGTTAAGCTTGTATTTGACAATTCTGCTCCTCAGTGGCAGCGTTCAGTGCCAAAGCAGGAAGCAGTGCACCCTTTATGTTCTGCTATATTCCCACTGTCAGGAAAAACTGTGTGTTTCACTTATGGTGTTAAGGAGAGGATTCGGATTACTGTACAGCTGCATGTAAACACTTGTAAACTCTGATTTCTCCCCGTTACCCCGTTTCTTGTGTCATGTAAATAGTCATTAATGGTGAACAAGCAAGATATCAAACATGCACAGTTTAATTCACGAGGTTGAGCATAAGGACGGCTAACAAACAAGCTGAGACAAACAGGGACAGACAGAATAAATAGGCAGGATGCACCAATGAGGACAGGTTGATAACACGATGAACATACTGCACAGACAGGTAGGGCGTAGCACAAGATGTCAGGTTAAGAAAACTAAACATGCCAACATGCTCTTTGAGAGAAAACAGCAGAGGAGTGAGCGAACAGAGGAGGACGATGCAGGTAAAGGTATGACTGAAGGCCGAGATTAAAAAAACTTTAAAAATATAGAAAAGAGATACGAATCAGTGCGGTTGTACAATCTCTGAGCAGAAGGGACTCAAAAGAAATTTTCAAACAAAGCAAATGGTCTTGACCTAAAACTGGAGCTACTAAAAGAGAAAAGGAAGAAAAAAAACAATAGAAACTACCACTCGTCATGCCTGATTATTTAATTTGTCCTTTACCAAAGCTGAACTCCTTCAACTTTAAAACAACTCATTTTCAACATACTTTGAGTCTTCAAATCACGAACATAAAAAGTGAACTCACTGTTACCTCTACGCTTATATAAGGGAGTAGAGGCTTTTAGATTTATTTTCTTTTTCTGTGTGTGCGCGGACTCAGATACAAAGAGATGAAAGAAAGATGTCATAGCTCATCGTCTTCCCTCTCAGCATACTCTGTTAGCCTGTGAGATGGCAAAGGGCGGAGAGCTGTCCCTCTGTGTATTCTGCCGGGGTTTCAGCGTGGGAGTTTGAAAAGGCGATCCAGTTGAAATCGCACTCAAAGCCTCAATGACTTCTCCAGGTGAAGTCAGGAAGTGTTTTCTCCCTTAAATAACCTTTGCTCCTTTCTCTTCTTTTTTTCTCTGTGTACCTTGATTCCCTGTTTCCCATCTTCTCCAGTTGCGAAATGCATGTGGAGAACCAATGTGACGACCCCAGACGAGATGCCTTCCTACATATGCAAACTCTTGTGTCCGTGGATACATCGTCGCCATCGCCGTGGAGCGGCCGCATGGAGGTGCGTTCGGGCCCGTCCGAGCACAGCGATCCGAATCCCAACACCCGCAGCCTGCGCAGCCCCGGACGCCGTCACACCCAGTCCCCGCCTCCTCCGTTTCGCTCCTGCTCCATCCCCATCATCCCCTCCGTCCAGTGTCACAACGAGGTGTCTTGTATGCAAACCAGCGTCACACCGGCGACAACAACGATGTCAGTCACCTGCGGAGCCGTGCCCTGCAAGGAAGCGAGGAGAGAGATGGCGGCGCACGTCACGTTGTGGTCCTCCTCCTGCTCGTCCGCCATTGGTCAGCAGCAGGACGAGGTGGCGCTGCTGCTGGAGGAGGCGCAGGAGCAGCTCAGGGCGTTGGCCTTGGCTCACAGGAAGCAGGAAGAAGGTGGCATCGGCAGCAGCGGGTCGACGGCTGTGCTGGTGGAGGCCAGAGAAACTGTTTGCTTCCTGAACCTTAACGGAGGAAGTGCCGGGGCGCTGAGCTGTAACGGACCCACGCAGACCCAGTTACTCAGCCCCAGCCTATCACACAGAGACCTGGGCCAGAGCAGCCAGTGAAAGGACACGATTTAGGACATTCACTTTCGGTTTGACGGTGTTTGACAGACTATGGTGTCCTGCATTTGTGAGACAGGAATGGAAATGCCGAATTAAAAAAAAAAAAAAAAAAAAGTAATATCATGGAAATTCTGAAAATGTGCTGATGATATCCTGTATGGATACAAACACTTCTGTGTGGCCGCCTTTACGCCAACTGACTGTCTGGAAAAAGAGAGAGAAAACAAATATTTACATGCATTTATTTACAAGAGAAACACTTCTACTTAGGCAAAAAGAAACCAAATAGTCTGTCAACTCCATGGTGTTTTTAATTGTAAAAAGAATATATAAATATATATATAAATATATATGGATATAAATATATGGAATTCAAAAAGTGACCAAGTACAAAGTTGAAGAACACGGGAATGATGTAACTATTTTTCTTTTGTTTTTCTTCTACCTGTTTTGCTCTGTCACATTTTTGGTTCGGCTCAATTCTAAGGACTGAACGTCATTAACATCCCGCCGCACGAGCCGTGAGTCGGATTCTGTGAGCGCGCACAGAGGAGCCTCCACACCAATCCCCCCCGTCCCCCATCCCCCTCTCTGGCCTCCTGAAAACATGTCTACCCAGCCAAGAATTACAGTACAACCCTCTGTGGTTACCAACAACACTGAGGATTTACGACAAAAAAACTCCCCGGCCGGCCGTGCGTGTGTGTGTTTGTGTGCGTGCGTTTGCGTGCGTGTGTGTGTGTGTGTGTGTGTGTGCCGAAGTGCAGCAAGGGAAGAGAGGGAGAAAAATAAAAAAACAGGAAACAACCTCTTGGTGAGATTTGAGGCGGCAGATTGTTACAGACAGCACGGATGCTGACTCTACTTTGGCCAGTGTTTCAAACCAATCCAGATTATTTTTCTTTTTTTTACAATTATATTTTCCCACACCTGTGCGCGCACACACACACACTCTGTGCGTTGCTTTCGGTTGCTTGGATGGTTGGATGACTGGACAGAAGGACAAAGGGAAGGACAGAGGGCTAAGGGTCACCACAGGAGCTAATCTGACATTTGTTTTGTTTCTTTTCATTTTTCCATTTTCGGTTATTAATGAACAATGCTGCTTTCTGGGGCCGACGGGAGGGAGGACCACATGGTTTGGGTATTGAAACAAATAAATGTCTCTATGTTGTATCCTATGAATCGGAAGCTTTTGAATCTCTGTATGAATTTACAGCCAAATGTTTCTGGTGACAAAAAGTAAAACAATGGTTGCAATTCTGGTAAAGGTTTTTCAAAATAACAGTGGTTTCAGTTGATTGCTTGGAAGACATTTTGACACCTTCAAAGCACCCTGTCCAAATGTGCATGCTGGATTACATCAGTCTGGTTTACAGTGATATATACCGTATTTATCCTTTGGCCTTTTCACACACAGTCTGGGCTGAACTGGAGACCAGTATTCACAAAGTTCCCATCCAATTAGCTGGTAGTTCCCTCTTTTCACCACGCTGCCTGGAATACAGAAATCAATGATGAATGATGTTTTCAAATACGGTTTCATTTCAAAATATTATTCATCCTTTTATGAAAATATATTGATACCTACATGTCCAAATTTCCATCCATAAAGCTTTGTCTATTGATGTCATGAGTCTTTTAAGACCGGTTTTAATTTCATTAAGCCGCTTCTCTTTATTCAACGCTCATTTAGAGCAGCTGTCTCGGTCCAGATGTCATGTTTGAATGAAAATCCCAGAAAGGAAGGGAAGAGGTGGCCTTGCTTCTAAGGAATCCTACCAAATGTATTGCTTTATGTTGGTTATAATAGAGAGGGACAAGGAATTTGTCTTTTATCAAAGTAGATGTTTTGGTATCCATTCAAGTCCTTGCAACCAAATTGAAATATTTCAAATTTATTTGAGTGAAAGAGGTTTGATTTGGAAAAACTTGATTTGAAATAACAAAGTTAAAGCGGGAACAATAAGCACAAGTAGCAACAATCCTCCATCGAAAATCACTGAAAGAGTGTCACAAGGTTTATTGCTTAACAACACTTTAGAAAGTAAGAGTGACTCCTGGATCTTTTATGTTTGTGTTATGAAATGAGTCCTACATTGAACTCTCATAGCTGCCATCCTTCAAGCTTTGTGACTGTGGCCCCCCCGTCGACAACGAACTGCTTTCAACCATCCAACTTGGTCCTTTCTGTGGCACTCTCCCAGGTGTGTGTCCGGCGCTCCACGGTTCAGAGAGGTCTGATTCAATAAGGCAGATACTCTGGATAAGATCACAGCACCTGAGAATTCACACTCTCCCAACCTGTACTTTTCAAAAACCCTCACAATGGCCGATCCTCGTGAACGTCCGCCTCTTATTCAACACACACGAGCACTCAGAAATCAGCCAGGAGCTTCTTTCTTTCTTTCCCTACTTCTTTGAAGACTTAGTTTGCCATGCTGCCATTCAGACCCCGAAAAGGCGCTTTTCTATATCATATTGCTGAACTTCAACAGTTTTGGTTATTTGATACTGATGTCCATGAAATCCATTATGTCCTCACCAGAACAAAACACTGATGACTTACAGAACGGAGGCTGATGCGCTGCTGTGCACGGACACGGAGCTAAAAAAAATGTGAATGTGTTTGTTTGACCAACTGTAATCAGTGTATGAGCTTTTAACAGATAAAAGTCTGCAAGCATTGTCTGGATTTGTTTTCTTATCTGAGGTGAGCTCTGCAACTAGAATGTTCATCCACTGCATGTTTTCACAAACATCTACATCGTCTCATAAACGCTCCATAAAATACACACGTATGTCATGACCAGATGCCAAACATGCATGACCTCATTATTACTGCACCTTGAGGAAAACTGCAATTACTTTCGACACGCATGTACTTCAACCACATGTGAGCATCAGCAATTACACAAGAGAGGGCAGGAAAAACTCATTCAATGCAGGCGTCGGTGCTCTCCACTCTGACCGTATTTAAGTGGTTTTCCATGTGCCGGTGATTGAAAACTGCGTTACTTCTTGTCCTGCTGGTTTAACATTATAAGAAGCAGCATTGGAGGAAAAATGGGGCTTTACGTTTGATAAGAAAAAGCTCATTGGCTTTTTTTATTAGTCACAGATTTTGAGAGCATGTCTGCCTTTTTTTCATGCGAGAAATGTTTTTATTTTTGAGATGTGTTTGTGTGTGTGGAATGTATGCAGTTAAACATTTTCTGTTTTTATTCCTAATTTATCAGTATTTTTTTATCTCCGATACACGTTTGAAATTCTGAGTTAAAAATAAAAGTCAATAAAGATTAGTGCTGGGCAAGTTAACGCGTTAATTTCGCATTAACGCATTCATTAATTAATGCCGACAATTATTTTATCGCGCGTTAACGCATTTTTTTAATTTATTCTAATTATTTTTTTTTTTTTTATATTGAAAGACAAGAGACAATACATATACATAACAACAAGAGGATGACAAGAACAGTGGGATAAAAGCCAGCAAACATCCTATAGTCAGTAATTTTAGTGCACCTATATGCTGAAATTCATGGTAAACGCATTTAAACGGCGCAGATCGGGAGCGAGCGAAGGACTTTGAAAGTTAGCGGAAAGATTAACGTGAGACAACATCCGGTTTCTTCAGACGAACATCCGGTTTTCAGAATAAGATGCCAACAAAGTATGAATTATATTCACATTAAGTATAAAACATGCTACCTGCATCTCGTGAACCAAATGTTATTGCCCTTTTGTTCATATAGCAGTACTTTTAAAATAAAAGTGCGCAATACACTACTTTTGAATTCATTATTGAACTTTGCCATAACAATGCGATTAATGGCGATTAATCGCAAAAAATCCATGCGATTAATCGCGATTAAATATTTTAATCGTTGCCCAGCACTAATAAAATGTAAGGTAAAATATAAGACTAGAGACCGTCGTGCGGGAGGATCACACCAGCGAGCATGCCAAATGGGTGTAGCAACCTGATCTCATGGGAAGGCATATAAATAGACATTTTAAGGACATTCCACGTGTCATAATAACACATTTGTTGGCATAGTTGAGCTTTAGATAAGTACGAAAGCTTAGTAAACGGTAAACAAGGAAACATAAGTATGGTAAACATGTAACAAACATCTCTAACGTAACTTACTGTGGGACACGAACATCAGTCTCCGGGTTGAAAGTCTTGTGTTCCTAAACCTAACTGCCTGTGAAGACAAGTTTATTTTAGACACTATGCAACGAGAGTATAATGACACGCCGTCCCTCACACGGGCATAACTGACATTAGAGGGCTACGTAGAGCGTCACAGTTTGACGCTTAAGACCACTGACCAAACTGCGTTGTTTAATACATCGGTGTGAGAATGTGTTGGAAGTGGGAAAGGGGCCGTTGGCCCAAAAGTGATGAGTCCTAAGTATGTACCCAGATCAGCTCATGTCAGGTATGTTTGTGTGCTGTTATGTGTGTGTGTGTGTGTGTGTGTGTGTGTGTGTGTGTGTGTGTGTGTGTGTGAGAGAGAGAGACGGATGGCAGGGAATAGAGGTTAGACCATCAGGCCAGAGAGATAAGAGCTACAGCTTGATCCCCCAAAAGCGCTGGACTGCCAGGCCAGGCAACCCCATCAGACCTTATCTGAACTGCACGGCAGTTCAGTGTCGGCGAGCTCAGGTGCTGTGAACAATTGTTTGTGTTGCTGTGCATGCGTTTTCCACGCATGCGTGCATGCACGCCCGTGAGTCAACACATACTGTATTTCTGTACCGTTCACTCCTGTCTTCGTACAAAAGCCTGCAGCTTGGACGGCTACGCACCTAGATAACACAAACAAAAAGCAAAGGTAGTGGATCAAGTCTGAGATAGAGAGAGGGAGGGAAAGACAAGGAGAGGGGGGTTCAAACAAGTCAGTCTGAAGTGTGAAGGAAAAGATAATCCAGGTCAGATACTGGTCCTTTGGATGGGTAATTCAAGCACCAAATTGTGTGTGTTTGCCAGACATTATCCTCCAGAGGTAGAGTTTGTCTTCTTTAACAAAACATTCCCCACGAAGACTTTATCTTTTTGCCCTTTTTCAGTAATGAACAAACTGGAAAGCTCTCAAATGACTGCGAGTCGTCACAGTGGAAGTGTTGTTGCGGTACATTAATAAAACAACATCAAAACAGGGAAAATAAATAACCAGATTCTAACACCCCCGAACATGCACAGAGCGCTAAGATCAGCCTGTCATTCAAGACGGACTATTGTCTATCTTCCTTTAATTTGCAGGCTAAATTAGCTGGTGTCAGTATCAGCCAGGAGCAAACCCATTTGCATCTGCAGAGCTACTAATTTTCACACGGTTTCAGGAACACAACAGCCCATAATGAGTGGTTGCAGGGCCGATGGAAGGCACTTGCACAATGTGTAAATGTGAGCATGTGTGGCACTACACATATTATGACATCTCAGTATGCAGTGTGGGTCAGTGGGTCAGTCTCAGCCTTTCACGTGAATAACGTGATTTTTTTCCTCATTAGTTTGACCCAAATGTATTTTTTTTAAATTCGTCATCTGAAAAAACTTGTTTTTTTGCATTAAAACCTTGCCTTGCACAAAAAGTGGTTTTGGAATTGTGCACAGAAAAAATCAAACGCAGCCCCCGAGCGCCGCTGATTCTGTTCTTCCTCATGAGGAAGAGAAGATTCTCAAGCTGACTCTGGAGCTGCGGAGTCACTTCAAGATCTACTTCATCATGCCAGAAACACAGTTTCATATGTTATAAAAAATGCTGAAAGCTCACGTCCAACCATGTTGTTCTTGAACAGCAGCTGACAGTGTGATAGATGCAAATCAAACAAAATGAAACAAGTACAGCATTCCTCTGCATTATTCCATGCTATATGCCGAATACATCTTCCGCTATCTTGCCTTCATCAGGGTGTCGACTTGTTTCATAACACACTCCTACAGACATCAGTAGATAAGAGATATGAGAAAACATCTTTTCTCCTTTTCATCTTTCAACCTCATTTTTCAAAACACGGTAATTATTACATTACATTACAGTCATTAGACGCTTTTATCCAAAGTGACTTACAATAAGTGTATTCAACATAGGTATTCAAGAGAATTACTGTTCGTACAAGTAGTTCTTGCACACAATGAACGTTGAGTAGCCTCTTCTGGAGGATCCTGTTGAGTCCTTGTCCGGATCGAATACATGAAAACATACATCATTAAATAGTTGAAAGTTTTGTTTCGGGTTTTACGCCGGGGTCTAGTTGGAAGCACCAGAAAAACCTCCAGAGGGAAGCATCCCGGAGGCTTCGTGATCAGATGTCCAAACTACCCTTAGCCGACTACGTTCAATGCACAAGACTTCTGGACGTCCACGCTGCTAACCCTGTCTCTACAACGCTCAATGGACTACACCACAGAGTAAAGCCAGCGCTGCACCAGTTCTCATGGTCTATTTTGTTCTAACTCCCAAACGAGAGCCCGAGATGAACTCCCTGTATCACTTTTTTTTAAACAAGCTACAATCATTGACAATTACTTTGTAGAATTCTCGTATCTCGTATCTCGAATTCTCGTATCGGGAACTGGAAGTCAAATTATTCGTCCAAAGACGTTTTGATCAAACAACTGAATTAAAGATATGGTTTCCTGTCCCTTAGTCATTGGTTTGAGACTAAATTAAATTAAATTAAATTAAATTAAATTGTGTAAGCAAAATTAAAATGAAGAGGGATAACTTTCTTACGGTCAGCACAATCTAAAACGGAGTGTTTCCTTATCAGTATTTATTAGCTGAATTAATCAGGTCTATTTACATATGAAGAGATTCAGATCATCGAATTTCTAGCGGAAGGCTTAACACAGTTTACCAAGGTTGTGCTGAACCAAGCTAATTGTGTTTTGTGAGCCGAATAAGAAAAGTCACATTCCTCTGTTTTAAGCTTCATCTATCTTATTATAACTGTAAAGCAATAATTTAAATGAGTTCAGCTGCTAGCGCTGCTGTTTTTAGGCTCATATATCCTGTGTGTCTGCAAAGTAGCTAAATAAATGGAGCTTGGCAAAAGTTTAATCAGGAGAACCACTTTAATATTGCTTCTGTATTTCTTTCTTCAATATGGCCTCGATGGCACACCCATTGGTTTCTGTCCACTCGTTTATTCTCCCGCTTCCCTCTATTAACCTTTTAGATTTAAAAGCTAAAAGGCAACTCCCTTCTGGTTCACAACATCCAATCAAGTAGCCTTAAAAGTCCTTCCCTCTTAACCAAATGAGAGCAAATTACTAATCAGCACCGAGAAGCTTGAATTGCAACACACACAGAGAGAGAGAGCGACTTCCTCCTCCACCAGATCTTAACATAGCAAATAGATGTTTACTGCTGTAATGCTGTCATTTTCAAATTCAGCCTTCAACCCAAAATATGTGTAAAATATGGACGTATAGTCTCCGTGGCGTCACCCATGGGTTTTGTGAGGAGGTTTTGTGAAGAGCTTAAAGTCGGGATCGTTTTTCGTGTCCATTGCACAATTAAAAATAAATGTTAACATTTTGCCATCACCGCCACATGCAAAACTGCCGCTAGAGGGGTACCAGATGTGTCATAGTTTAAAGCTTATCGCCACTGACCAAGCTGCGTTATTTGATGCATTGGTGCAAAAATGTGTTGTTGTTGGAGCTGAGACAGCAGAGGAGACGGCTAAAAGTCTGAGATGGCACCCACCTGTCACTCAAAGCGGCGGCGGACTTTGCTTTTCTCATTGATTAAGTAAATTGATTCCTAACTGTCTGAAGGCAAGCCAGTGAAAGGGGTCTCCATGTCTAGCTAGGACCAAAGCTTTGTTCCTTAAGTGCAGTATTAGATGGTTCAGAAGTAAACCAGGGGCTGGATCTATCCTTTAATCTTAACTTCTTTAAAGGTGCATGTTTGTTGACTACTGAATTAAAAGTATTCTAAATTTTAAGACAGCTTCAGTGGGATAAAAGTTTTAGACAATCTGGCTCTTTGGATTGCCAGTTTAGGTTTAGATTGTACAGAATATATAGTTCTGAGGACATAAATGAAAGTAAGTCCTTTGAAATATTGGTTAGAGCATCGATAGGAGTACACCACAAGTTGATTGATAGATATTAAGTCAATCAAAGAGTATCTTTTTGATTGACATGGCAGGCTGTGTTGTCGGATGGGCTTGGAGGTCTTAGTCTTCATTAATTAATATTATTGATATTTTTGACCAGTAAACTGGCTGTTTTTTTTCTTTGTGTTTCTGGAGAGTGAAAAAACTTTTGTTCTGTTTTGTTCACAACACTGTGAGAAATTAGCCCA